AAGGGGGGTCGAGCGGCCTGGGCTGGCCTGCGTCTCTGTGAAGGGGGGGTCGAGCGGCCTGGGCTGGCCTGCGTCTCTGTGAAGTGGGGGTTCGAGCGGCCTGGGCTGGCCTGCGTCTCTGTGAAGGGGGGGTTTGAGTGGACTGGGCTGGCCTGCTTCTCTGTGAAGGGGGGGGGGTCGAGCCTGCTTCTCTGGGGTGAGAACACTGGCGCTGACCCAGCTCATGGCCTCAGCCCCTGCTATTTCCTGCTTTGTCTCATCCCGGCCCACTCCCACACCCCCTCTCGGGCTAAATGATTCACTCTCCATCTCTCCCTGGCTTCCTGGGTGGCAGAGCCCGGAGCCCCGGAGACAGCGGGAAGCGGGACGGGCTGGTGAGAGAGAAGGGCAACAGGCTGAGTTCTCTGTGTCCTGGGATGAGGGGGACAGCAAGGCTAAGTGGACCCAGCTGGAGCCCAGGATTCCAGATGTAGGAGTTAAGAGTTGAAACCCGAACCTGAGGCCTCCTTTCTCCCTCCGTGACCCTAGCCCTGAGGAAATTTTCCATCACAAACAAGTGTGTGTTCCTAACCTCGGGGCCTCCTCCCGCCCCCCCCCACGCCAGTTTCCCTTCATCCTCAGCCTCTCCCTCCCAGCCTTCACCTCCTGTCTGCACCTGGGTGTGGGCACACAGCAGGAGCGGCTGTGTTTCCGTTGGCCACCGCGTAGTGTGTGAGGAGCCTGGGAAGGAGAGTGTGGGCAGGTGTGTTGTGCAGCTCACAAGCAGACATGAGAACGCTGGCAAGTTGCAAGGCAGATGTGAGGAAGGATATTTGTGCCTGCGGAAAGAAGTGTGCGCACGTGACGAGCAGGCTGTCTCCGTGTCTCTCCACGAGGGGGCCACCGGCGCAGGAAGCGCTCTAACCCACAGCAGTGAAACACCTAAGCTCACTTGCAGGTGTGAGGCTCACTTGCTTTCCTAACATCCTTCACTGAAAAAAACGGCCTTCAAGCCAGTGGGGGCACACGTCCGTAGTCCAGGAGGCAGAGGCAGGCGCATCTCTGTGGTTTCGAGGCCAGCCTGGTCTACAGAGAGAGTGGAGGGCAGCCAGGGCTACACAGAGAAACCCTGTCTCAAAAACAAACAGTAAATAAACAAATACATTTCAGGTTGAGTATGGCTCAGTGGTGAGAGCAATAGCCCAGCACACAGGCTTCTATTTTCAGTTCCCAGTTAAACACAATTTAAAAGGCCGAGCTTTTCTCTTGAGTTTTAGCTGAATTTGCTCATTTAATTTCATGTGTGGCCGCTTTGCCTGCCTGCACGTCTGTGCACACACGCGTGTATCTGGCTCCAGAGGAGACAAGGAGGAGCCATTAGAGCCACAGCTGGAGTTGGGGGCACTTGTGAGCCGCCGTGGGGACACCAGGCGTCAAAGCCAGGTCCTTGGCATGAGCAGAAAGGCTCTCAACCTGGGAGCCACCTCAGCTCCCAGCCCTCCTTAGCACGCTCTTCTGGGACGCTGAGAGGAAGCGTTCCCAGTCCGGAACCACGGGGCCGCAGCCGGTCCGAGAATACGTGTGCACCCAGTTCTGCACCCCACCTTCTCCCATGAGAGCTCTGAGGGCGGGGAGGCGGTTTGGGGGGGAGCGCGTGCTGCTCTTGCAGACCGCCCTGCTCTTAGCACCCAAACCAGGCAGCGTATAACCGCCTACAGCTCCAGTGCCAGGGGTTTCGGTGCCGCCTTCCGGCTCCTATGGCCCTCGCATGGGTGTCCTCTGTACAGCCGGGCACACCCGCATGCACACACACGCACACACACGCATGCGCATCAGGTGGCTGTCGCTTTCCACCTGAGCCTCTTCCAGAGCTCAGGACCGTCCTATTCTCCTGTCCAGGAGCTTAGACTGCTCTTATTCCTGGACTGTGCCCCATGACCTGGGGTCAGAGCCCGGTCTGCCTGGTGAGCGCTCCTGTCTGCCCAGCCCCTCTTCCCCGGCACTTCCCAGGCCTCCACAGGAAACTTACCCAACGCTGCTTTCCTTGGGGCCCCCAGAGGAATCCTGTACTTTTCCAGGCTGAGCTGGTGGTGAGTCCATCCCTTTGCTTCACATCTGCATGTGTCATAGCCCACACAATGGATCACCTTAAATGTCACTTGTGACTGAAGCCTCCCTGAGGCTTAGTCAGATGTGAGGACTAGCTCCCAGGGTCCCCTCTGATAGTCTTCTTAGGACCATCAGAAAAGACCGGTCCCTCCGGAGCCCAGGGGAGAAAATCTTCCAGGCCAAAGTGGCAGCTCTGGCTGGCTGGCTTTCCGCCCGTGAAACTAACCTGAGCGCCCCAGCAGCACGCGTGTATTCGCATAGACGGCTTACTTGGGCGTGTGAATGTCTGGGTGTGTGTAGACCACCCAGAGGGTGACTTTCTAAGAATCAGGTCTCCTTCTCCATCGCCTGAGTCCCTCGGATGGACTCGGTCCTAGGCCTTCCCTGGGCCACCTCACCTGGATTCGTCTGTTTTGTTTTAAGCTGTGTTGCATTTTAATCTCTGCATGGGAGCATGCTCCCTGCGTTACGTATGTGCGGCACTGCGTGTGCCGCCTGCAGAGAGCAGAAAGGGCTGTTTCGGGTTGGTTGTGAGCAGACGCCTGCGTTCTGGAAGCCCAGATCCTCTGCAAAAGCAGCTTGGCCCTCACAGCGGAGCCACTCTCCGGCCCTTCTCTTCCGATCTTGTTGTGTTCCCCGGACTGGCCCCAAACTCAAGATATCCTCCTGCCTCAGCTTGGCAGGCGGCGGGGAGAGGGCTGCAGCTTCACCCTGGGCTGGGCGGCTTCCAAAACACTTTTTACTCAGATTGTGCGCCAGAATGTTGACTTTCCTCTGCAGGAAGAGTGGTCTCCAGAGCAGTGGAGGGACCCGGAGGGACCGGGAGGGATCTGGACGGTGGTGCTCCGGGCAGCGGCCGGCTCAGTGCCTCAGCGGTTCAGAAAGTTCCTCACACCGTACCATGTGACCCATCCAACAAGGGGCAAAGGAGGGGCTGCTGGCTTCCGGTCTCTGCCTGTCCCGCTTTGAATGGCTTCCCAGTGTGTGTGTGTTCCTGGTAGTCCCTGCACCTTTGTTTTGGGTGTGTACTTTGGGGGAGGGGGGTTAGTTTTTGGTTTTTCGACACAGGGTTTCTCTTCTGTGTAGCCTTGGCTCTGTCGATGTGTAGACCAGGTTAGCCCCGAACTCCCAGAGATCCGCCTGCCTCTGCCTCCCGAGTGCTGGGACTACAGCCTAGGCCACCGTGCCCGGCTGTGCGTGTGCTTTTGAGGCGCACGTGATGTGCGGATTGCGTTTTCCTGTGTGCTGAGCGGGCAGACTGGGTCTGTGGGTCTAGCGTGTCCGTGGAAGTCTCGGCAACGACTTCCCCGCTGGGGCGTTTCCCGCGCCTTTCCAAGGAATCGGGTGTTTTCCGTGGCCCCCGGGTCTTGCAGGGGCTCTCGGAGGACGGTGGCCGGGCCGGCCCCTCTCCAGCGGCCACATGTGGGGACATGTGCTCGCCCCCACCTGCACGCACCGCTCTCGGGCAAAAACGTGCGCCTGGGCACCTGGACGGCGGCCGCCGGGCTCCGCCTCCGCGCGGCTTCCTCCTCGGAATTTCCAGCGCTCGGGCCCCGGGCCCGCCCCGGCCCGCCCCCTCCCGCCTCTATAACCGGCGCCGGCGCGCGGGGCCGCCACACTCCGCCTGAGCGCGCAGGATGTGCCACGCGCGCAGCCATCTCCACGCCATGACCGGCCCCGGGGCCCCCGCTCCCTCCACCGGCCCCGGCCTCCGGCGGGCCTCCGGCCCCGAGATCTTCACCTTCGAGCCCCTGCCGGAGCCGGCGGGAGCGTCCCCCGCGCGCCTCGGCCCTTCCCGCGCCCACCGAAAACGCAGCCGGAGGGTGCTCTACCCTCGAGTGGTGAGTGTCGCCGAGGGGCGGCGGGGGCCGGTCGCCGCGGGGGCCGCGCGGCGCGGCGACCCCGACCTGACTTCTTTCTCCCTGTGTCTCCGCAGGTCCGGCGCCCGCGCCCGAGCGAGGAGCCCAGCGTCGCCAAGAGGGCCCTCTTCCTCCTGCTCGCCGTGGTCTTCTGCCAGATCCTGATGGCCGAAGAGGGCGTGTCGCAGCCCCTGGCCCCGGAGGACGCCCCGGGCGCCGCCTCCCCCGAGCCCGCCTCCGCGCCCCCGGCCCTCGCGCCCCTGAACCTGACCTCGGAGTCCTCCTCGGACTACGCTCTGGACCTTAAAGCCTTCCTTCAGCAACACCCAGCGGCCTTCTGAGGGCGACGGGTCGCAGTCCGAAACCAGAAGCGAGAGGCACCAGGCGTACGGTGCGCGAGTATCCCAAACTGGGACTTCCAAGGCAGCGCGACTCCACACTACCCAGCCTGGGGCCGGCGGGCGGCCGGGCCCGGCGGGAGGACAGGCTTCCCGGGCCCTGACTCTTATTTATGTATTTATGTGTGTCCTCCCAGGCGAAGGGGGGCCGTGTGGAATATTTATTTTAACTTATGCGGGGGTGCGAGCTATGCCCCTTGCCGTGACTCGGGTATTATTTATTAGGATTTCTAGGGTCGGGAGACAGCGGTGGGAGGGCGGGCCTGGACCGGTGCTAGGACCCCAGCGTGCGGACTGCTCTTGTGGTGGGCGCCGGCTTGGGGGGGCGCTGTCTGCCAGCTCCTCGACTCTGTCGTCTGTGGCAAGGCTTCGGCGGGCCCCTGGGAATGCGGCCCGCGGTCCCGGTCGCGCTCAGGGGCGGCCGCGGAGCCCTGGGCCGTGGATTGCCGGAGGCGGCTCTCGGGGGCCGCCAGTATGTTCTGTGAACACGAATAAACTTGATTGCCTTGTCATTACGACCAGCGGTTCTCGAGTCGTTTCTTTGCCAAGCGGCAAAAATAAATAAATAAAAATAAAGGGATGGCGGCGCGGGAGGATGTGACCAGGTCGCCTGTCCGCCCCCCGTGGGTCCCGAACTCTCTTCCCGGAGTTGCGGACCTATATCCGGTCACCGGATGCTGTCATCCTGGCCGGGTCCGCGGTTTTCCCAGTTAGCCGCTGCCGGGCCGACCTGCTTACTCACGGCGGGCGGCGGGGAGCGGGGCCGGGGGAGGGCGGGGCGCGGCGGCGCGCGGCGGGCGGGGGAGGCGGCGGCCCGAGCGGGGCCTGCCGGGAAGGGGCGGGCCGAGCGGCGGGCGGGGCGGGGTCGCGCTGCCGCAGCCACAGGGCGCGGCCGGGCCGGGGGCCGGAGCGCAGCTTCGGGGACGGGGTGTCGGGGCGCCCCGCTCAGGTCCCCACGCGTGCCCGCGCTTCCCGACACCCAGTGGGGTTGCCCCCGGGCTCCGGAAGGTGAGTGGGGCGGGGTTCGGAGCCTCGGGCGACCGGGAGCCGCGAGGGGGCGGAACTGTAGCGGAGCCCGGGCGCGGGAGAGCTTTGTGCGATGGGGGGGCTGGGGGGCGGGAGAGGAAGACCCTGAGGATCAGCCTGCGCAGAGGAACGAGGCCCCGGGGACCTTAGACTGTCGCGGGGGCGCCCAAGGGACTGGGCGGTGGCAGGGGCCGGCGGTGCTCCCGACCGGAGGGGGAGGCGGTGGCCCAGGGCCCCTTCCCCTCTGCCAAGGCTTCCTCTCCATCCCCTCCAGCTGCAGCCTCAACCATGTTTTTCACTTGTGGCCCGAATGAGGCCATGGTGGTCTCCGGTAAGTCTCGTCTCAGGCGCGGACACCCACCCTCCAACCCCCCCACGCCCCTCCCCTGCTTCTTTAAACCTGACCTCCGCCCCTCGCCCGCAGCAGCCTCCCAGCCCCAACCTTCTGCCCACGATGGCCACAAAACACCTGTGATTCCCGGCCATAGTTTCCAAGGCCTGGAACGCTCGCCCTCAGCTCCCAGGTTCCCCGTGAGCGCTCCACCCTGTACCCCATAGTCTCTGGCTCTGCCACATTATGTCCGCCCCTTCCAGGGTTCTGCAGGAGCCCCCCAGTCATGGTGGCCGGAGGCCGCGTTTTTGTCCTGCCCTGCATCCAACAAATCCAGAGGTAGGCAGCAGCACGCCCCCCCCGGGGGGGGGCATTGGGGGGCCTTGTCCCCTCTGCTCCTTCCCTTACTGTCTGCTCCTTCTCGCCCTAGGATCTCTCTCAACACACTGACGCTCAATGTCAAGAGTGAGAAGGTTTATACCCGGCACGGCGTCCCCATCTCAGTGACGGGCATTGCCCAGGTGGGGCCCAGAGCCTCTTCCCAAAGCCCGCTCCCACCCTTTTTCCCTGGCCCCTGGCGCTCTGGCCATGGCCTTCTCAGCTGCTGTCCTCTGCCGGCCTCCCCCATCATACCCGCTCTGTCTCCCCTGTGGCGGCAGGTGAAGATCCAGGGCCAGAACAAGGAGATGCTGGCGGCCGCCTGCCAGATGTTCCTGGGGAAGACGGAGGCCGAGATTGCCCACATTGCCCTGGAGACTCTGGAGGGCCACCAGAGGGCTATCATGGCCCACATGACAGTAGAGGTGGGCCTGGGAGAGGAGAGGTGGGTGGGACAGCAGGATGTGGCACCCGGGGCCCAGCTCACCGGGGACAGGGGACGACTCCGACTTCTCTCGTCGCCGTTCTGTCTCTCCAGGAGATCTACAAGGATAGGCAGAAGTTCTCAGAGCAGGTTTTCAAAGTGGCCTCCTCAGACCTGGTCAACATGGGCATCAGCGTGGTCAGCTACACTTTGAAGGACATCCACGATGACCAGGTAAAAACAGGTAGCTGAGGCAGGCTCGGTGGCTGGAACCCGTACTCCCATCACTAGGGCCCGGTGGGGGCAGGGCCTGCCTAAAGCAGGAGGGATTGTATCCATAGGTCATGCAGGCTACGTAGTGAGTTCCGGGCTAGCCCCGGCTACAGAGTGAGAGCCTGTCTCGAACAAGCGAAGAACAGGGCTAGCGGCAGAGCACTGGCCTAGCCTAGTGTGCTGGGGCCCTGGCTGCACCGTGTAGCGCAAAACAGAGAGCGAAGGCGGTTGGTCCTTCCCGCTTCCTGCTCCCTCGGGTGGGGCCCTCCTGAGCCTGGCCTCTCTCTCCCGCAGGACTACTTGCACTCTTTGGGGAAGGCTCGCACGGCGCAAGTCCAGAAGGACGCTCGCATCGGGGAAGCAGAGGCCAAGCGAGATGCCGGGATTCGGGTGAGGGCGACGGGGCTGCTGGCTTGCTAGGCGCCCAGTGGCTGAGGGCACAGGGGGCTTCCCGCTGAGTGTGGTTGGCTGAGCTGGGTCAGCAGGGGCCACGAGAGAGGAGCCTGGCACAGGGCGGGCCCTTACCCTCTGGCCTTGCTCACCTGAGCAGGAGGCTAAGGCCAAGCAGGAGAAGGTGTCCGCACAGTGCCTGAGCGAGATAGAGATGGCCAAGGCACAGAGGGACTATGAGCTGAAGAAGGCGACCTACGACATCGAGGTGAACACGCGCCGCGCCCAGGCGGATCTGGCCTATCAGCTGCAGGTGAGAGCAGCCATGCCGGGGCCCGGCCGCCCTTCCTCCCCCTTTTCCCAGTCCCGCTTTTGACCGTCTCCTCCAGACGATAAAAGACAAATACGTCTCAGGCAGGGACCGGAGAGGTAGCTCAGCTGATAAAGCGCTCAGTGGCACACGCTCTTGTAGCCCCCAAACTGGGGAGGCAGAGTGGGGTGCATCCTGGGGGATCCTGGTCAGCCTGGCTGGCCTCGTCATTGCCCCTCAGACCAGGAGCAGACGCTGTCTCAGGACGTGAAGGTAAACGGTGCCCGAGGGGACACCACTGAGCCGCTCTCTGGCCCCCACAAACTCATGCACACACCCCTGTACACGCCTGAGTGTCTGCACACAGATGCAGACTGGAGCGCTCAGCTCAAGACCGAGAGAGAGAGAGAGAGAGAGAGAGAGAAAGGCCATGAATGAGAGGGAGAGAGAGAAAGGCCACGAATGTGGCCAGTGTAGGGGTAGGCCTGTCTGGGCCACCAATGTGACCGATTGACGAGGTAGGCCTGTCTGGGTCAGGGCACCTGCTTGCAGGCGGGAACCGGAGCGGAAGGCTTCCCTGCCGAGTTCTGGGTGTGGCTCTGCACCTGTTCAGAAGAAGAGAAGCCTCTTCTCACTTGCATAGGCTACCCCGAAACCTTGGTGATCAAAAGAGAGGGTGAGGAAGGGAACGGACATGGGCCTTGGGTGGTGGAACGTGATCTATGGCAGCCGCCTCCATCACGAGAAGGGCGGGCGGCTGGCCCTGCCATTCATGGGTTGCACGTCCGGAGTCTGCCTGCTCACCGGGATTTACGGGAACCCCAGGGCAGGGCTTGCAGCCTTTGTGCTGCCTGTGAAGCACGGGCACAGAATGCCGAGAAATTCCAGTTCCCTGCTGCAGCCTCCAGATGAGCTCAGCTAAGGAACGCTGCCGGGTCCCGGCGCTCAGGCTGCAGAGTTTACCACATTGCCACCATCATTTCTGCATTTTTGTGGATTTTTGTTAGTGATTTTGCTGTTTAAAATGACTGTCAGGACTGAGGGTGTAACACACACATTCAGTAAAATGAATCGAAAAAGCGGGCACAGTGGAGCACGCCTGTAATCCCAGCCCTGAGACAGGGTCTCATACTGTAGCCCAGGCTGGCCTCAAACATGCAGTAGTCCTGTTTCAGCCTCTTTACTGCTGGGATTACACGCGTGTACTACCATGCCTAGCTTAGAGGGTATCTCTCAGCAAAAACAGGGCAACAAAATTATGTATTGATTGGCTGATAAAAAGAGGTAGACCAGGTTGCTCCTTGAACTCCGAGGCCCTCCTGCCTCTGCCCCCCAGCGCTGGGGTCGAAGGTGGTCACTGTGGCAATGCATACCTTTAATCTACGCAGATCTCTGTGAGCTCAGGCCAGCCTGGTCTGCAGAACAAGTCCGGGACAGCCAGGGCCACAAAGAGGAACCCTGTCTTGAAAAAAATTTGTATTTTACATGTTTATCTTAGGTGACGAGTGTTGTGCCTGCGTGTCTGTGTGTGCAGCTGGTGCGTGTGTTCTTGCCTGGTGACTGGAGCCAGAAGAGGGCATCAGATCCCTGCAGCTGGGGGCTGTAAGCTGGCAGCAGGGCTAGTGCTGAGCACAGGTCCTCTGGAAGAGCAGCCGGTGCCCTCAACTGCTGAGCTGTCTCTCCAGCCCCCACTGTCTTTAATCCCACTCACGTGGCTCCCCAGGGTCACACCCAGGTCGTCAGGCATGGAGGCAAACGCCTTTACGCCCCAGGCCGACTTGCTAGGCCAAGGTCACATCAATCGTGAGGCCAGCTTGGACTTTTAAGATAGCCTGGACTGCACAGTGACAACACCCCTACCTTAAAAAAAGAGGGCTGGAGAGATGGCTCGGTGGTTAAGAGTGCTGCTGCTCTTCCAGAGGTCATGAGTTCGATTCCCAGCACCGTGGTGGCTCACATACCTGCAGTCCCATGAGATCCAGTGCCCTCTTCTAGAATGCAGATGTAGAGGCAGACAGAACATCCAGGTCCGTAAAATACATGAGTATTTAGAGATAGGTGGGGGACATGCCTTTAATCTCAGCACTACAGGGGCAGTTGGCCCCTGAGTTTGAGGCCAACCTGACCTACAGATCGAGTTCCGGGACAGACAGGGCTACACAGAGAGACCCTGTCTTGAAAAATAAAAAGGACAAACGAAATTTGAGCACACGCAGACACCTCTGGAAGCTGGTCGTAGCAGCTGCTCCTAGGAGGGAACGGCGCATTTGGAGGCCAGAGGTGGGGGCGCTGCTTTCTCCGTGTCCACTTTTTTTTTTTTTTTTTTTTTTAAATTTATTTTGTATGCACAAGGTAAAAATTTAAAAGCCAAAGATGTGCGCTGGCAGGGTGGGAAAGGCAGGTTCCGTCCGTTGAGCTGCCGGGGCTGGAGTCGATGGTGGCAGGAAAAGGAAATGGAGACATGTGCACAGGATTGCAGAGATCATCCGGGACTCAGCCCTGAGGGCCCGCGCACTAGAGAGCGTTCCCCAAGTGGAAGGCCCCGTGGGAGGGGCGCTGTGCCCCACCCGAGGAGGGACGCACCAGGTCTAGGGGATCTTCTATCAGAGGAGCCGACCCCAAGGCTGCTCCGAGAAGTGAGGTGGCCGCCCCCAGGCCCGGCTGAGCGGAAAGCGCGCTCGCGGGGCTCCCCTGCCCCCCGTGGCCCGCGGGGGGGGGGAGGGGACGCCTGGCTCCTCTCCCTGACCCGGGCCGCCCTGCTCCCCAGGTGGCCAAGACCAAGCAGCAGATCGAGGAGCAGCGGGTGCAGGTGCAGGTGGTGGAGCGCGCCCAGCAGGTGGCGCTGCAGGAGCAGGAGATCGCCCGGCGGGAGCACGAGCTGGAGGCCCGTGTGCGCAGGCCCGCCGAGGCCGAGCGCTACCGGCTGGAGCGCCTGGCGGAGGCAGAGAAGTAGCGCCCCTCCCCGCCCCCCTCCTGCCCGCGGGACGCCCGGAAGGGCGCCCGGGCCGCGAACCCGCTTCCCTTCCGTCCCCAGGGCCCAGCTGATCATGCAGGCAGAGGCCGAAGCCGAGTCTGTGCGGGTGAGTCGGGGCGTGCGCGGCACAGGAAGGGCTTCTTTTTTTGCACTTTTTCCGCACTGCGTCACCCAGGCTGAACTGGAACTCACCACGTAAGACACGCTGGCCTCGAACTCACAGAGATCCGCCGGCCCCTTCCTCCCCGAGCGAGCGCGGGGACGGCAGGCGTGCGCCCCGATGCCCCGCCGAATCCTGTATCCTTAACGGGTGCCGTCGGTTCTAACGCCCTGCCTCCCTCCACAGATGCGCGGGGAAGCGGAGGCCTTTGCCATCGGGGCCCGAGCTCGTGCTGAGGCCGAGCAGATGGCTAAGAAGGCGGAAGCCTTCCAGATGTACCAGGAGGCCGCCCAGCTGGACATGCTGCTGGAGAAACTGCCCCAGGTGTGGGGGCTGCTGGGGCCCTGAGAGAGGGCGCGCAGGGATCGTAAATTAGGGGGCCAGCTGCAGGGTGAGGGACTCCGGCCAGGTGTGGGGTGAGTGTAATGGGTGGTCAGCGCGATCTCCACCGAGCAGGTGGCGGAAGAGATCAGCCGTCCGCTGACCTCGGCCAACAAGATCACGCTGGTGTCCAGCGGAGGCGGAACCATGGGGGCAGCCAAAGTGACCGGGGAGGTACTGGACATCCTAGGCCGCCTGCCGGAGAGCGTGGAGCGGCTCACGGGCGTCAGCATCTCCCAGGTGAGCGTGGCTGTGGGGTGTGTGTCCCTAACTCACGTGATGCGGAAGGCCGGCTGCTTGGTAAGCGTCCAGAAGCCCAGGAAGTCACGATGACCTTCCTGGTGCCCACGCCACCTTGCTGAGGAACCCACGTCGGGCCCCTTGGCCACTTCCAGGCCAGTGAACACAGTAACGGCAGCCGGAGCTACCCTTCGCCTTTCACACTCGCGTGCACACGCAAGAGCCACCTCCAACGTGTTAAATGACGTAGCCACCGTGGCTAAGCCAGGTGGCCGCCAGGGTGGCCAAGAACTAGCTGCCATCTGCTGGTAGTTAGTTCATTCCGTGGCTGCTGCCTTCCTTGAGTTTCCCCACCTGTGGGTTATGGCAAAGGCCAGGTCGGCGTAAAGCGCAGCCCAGTTGTCGCTGAGCCGACACCTTTGGTGGGTTGCCAGCCCGTGCCTGTTGTCTTCTCGTCTTAAAACTGGCTGGTGAGCCGGTTGCGGCTGCGCTCACACCTTCGATCCCAGCGCTCGGGAGGCAGAGGTAGGCAGTTGTCTTTGAGTTTGAGGCCAGCCTGGTAAACAGCAGGTTCCAGGACAGCCAGGGCTACGCAGAAAGATCCTCCCTACTGCCATTCCTGCTGGGCACTGGGAGTGTTTACAGAGTATCTTGGCCAGGTGCAGTGGTGAAAGCCTTCAGTCTCAGCACTCAGGTGATCGCAGACTGATCTCTACAGCTGAGGCCAGCCAAGCAGCATATCGAGACCCTGACTTTTGGGGGTTGTTTTGAGACAGGGTTTCTTTGTGTAGACCAGGCTGGCCTCAAACTCCGAAGAGAGCTGCCTGCCTCTGCCATCTCGCCCAGCCCAGAAGACTGTTGGCCTTTTCAGTGTCTTCCTGACCCATCTGGCTCATCACTTCTTTTTCTTCTGTAGGTGAATCACAACAAGCCTCTGAGGACAGCCTGAGCTCCCTGGAACCCTGGTCATGGGGCTCGCTTGCATGTGGCCCTGAGAGGGGGCCTTACCATATCTCCTTGCCAAATAGTCTGTGCCTTGCCTTGGAGGGGTTTGAGCCCCTTCTCAGCCCGCTGCCAGTGTCCTGCACCAAGCTTCTGGTGATCCTACTTCAGCCCATCCCAACTATTTAACTTCCTGAATAAACTAGACTGCGTGAGCCTGTCATCTAGACCTTTTCCTCACCAGGACCAAGAGGGCCCTCCAGATCTTGCAAAATAAATCAGGTAGTTAAAAAACCAGTTTGCAGCATCCTGGAAGCAGAATTAGAAGTTGCAGGCCAGCCTGGACTACCCAGCAAGAACCCGAGACCCAATTTTGCCCCCAGAATTTGGCTGTGGTCTGAAAAGCACAGTAGGGAATGCTAAGGCATGAAATCCTGCCACCAGGTTGGCACTGAATACAGCCCTCCCTGGGTTTAAGGTAATTGGCTAGAAGCCAGCCTGGCTGCAAAACTCCCTTACAGGAAATAGTGTGGTGTTCATGTGACCTTCAAATACCCCAATACCTGATGCCAGCCACTGATGGCAGCTTCAATTCTTGCTGAAGAGCAGCTCACAATCTGGTCTCAAAAGACCGCTGATACTTTGAACTACAGTAAGACACTGTTCCAATGGGTGTGGGATGGGCTAGAAGTTTGAAAATGGGGTGAGGGTCTGTTTTCAGGATGGGCATTTTGCAGCATTAAAACCAAAATGCTCCACTGAACACTGGCGTTAAATATAGGTCTGATTAGACCTTTCTACTGTTTTTTCCCCCCTGGAGAACACGGGTTTCCCAGCACTGAAAAAGAAAACTGCTAGACAGCCAGTGATTTCTCAGATACTGGAGAGGCAGGCACAGGAGAAACACCCAGTTAGGCTGAGCAAACAACTGAACAGACCTGGGGGCAGGACAGTGCTCAACCCCAAACCACACAGAGCAAAGATCTGCCCGGCAATGGGAGGATGGGGCGGTTTGCTTGCCCAAAATACAGGATTAAGTCTGTGACATCTCGTGAGCATCAGAACACCAGCGGCTTTCCCTAACCCTGAAAGAGCACAGCCTCACGCCTTTTTTTAGAATTCCCATTTATTTTTTTGGCTCTTGGGGCAATGTCATCTTTTCAATATGAAAAACGCAGCAAGTTCAACACAAAATAGAAAGGTAGAAAGAAAGGCATGACCAAACCAAGGGCAGGAGGAAAACGGCAGAGGCAAAGATATCACCTCCCTTGTGGGAGTCTCCCGAACACCAGGGGGCAGCACCTTCCCAGTTAGAGGTTAAGTGGACAGGGCAGTTTCTGGACATTCAGAGACCAAGGCTCTGCCCACTACCACCCACTTGGTGATATTTCTTGGAGAAGCAACAGTGGGAGGAAGACAGCCCCGACGGCAGCTTTGGCTCAGGACAGCTGGGAGGCTATAAATGGAGATAATGCTGTTAAGCCCTCTCCTGAGGCTGGGAGACGAAGCAGGGGAAAAAAAAAAAAAGGCTCAGTGGATTCTCTTGTCTAAATGGCCTGGACTGGAAAACCCCACCCCTCTCTCCCCAGTGACCTTTATTAACCCCCACCCTCCTTTCCCTACCCCCTACCTAGCTTTTTATGGTGTCAGCTTCCTGCTGGGCTGGTTCTATACAGGGTCTGGAATAGAACTCAGGTTCTTAAGAGACTATGTTGAGAGAGTGCCAACTGGACAGTTATGAGAAACGGGTACCAGGAGGAAATGTGGGCCAAAGTCCAGAATGGCAGAAATCTAGGTTTGTCAGAGTGGAAAGAGAAAGGAGACATTCCACAAACAAATATTTATTGAGCGCCTTCTATGAGCCAGGCACTGTTAAACCCCCAATGAAAAAAACAAAAACAAAACAGGACAGAGGCGGAAGAGAGAAACTGAAGGAGGAAAACGGGCAGGGGAAGGAAGCGGAGGGAACCGAGCAGCCTGAGGTGACTGACACGGGGCTATCTGCCTTAGGCCTCTTCTTCTGCTTCCTCCCCGAAATCTTCCTCCTCCTCCGCGGTGGCGTCCTGGTACTGCTGGTACTCGGAGACCAGGTCGTTCATGTTGCTCTCAGCTTCGGTGAACTCCATCTCGTCCATGCCCTCGCCTGTGTACCAGTGGAGGAAAGCCTTGCGCCGGAACATGGCCGTGAACTGCTCCGAGATGCGCTTGAACAGCTCCTGGATGGCCGTGCTGTTTCCGATGAAGGTGACCGCCATCTTGAGGCCGCGAGGCGGGATGTCACAGACGGCGGTCTTGACGTTGTTGGGGATCCACTCCACGAAGTAGCTGCTATTCTTGTTCTGCACATTGAGCATCTGCTCGTCTACCTCCTTCATGGACATCCGTCCCCGGAAGACAGCGGCCACGGTGAGGTAGCGGCCGTGGCGCGGGTCGCAGGCGGCCATCATGTTCTTGGCGTCGAAGACCTGCTGGGTGAGTTCAGGCACGGTGAGGGCCCGGTACTGCTGGCTGCCGCGGCTGGTGAGGGGCGCGAAGCCGGGCATGAAGAAGTGCAGGCGTGGGAAGGGCACCATGTTGACGGCCAGCTTGCGCAGGTCGGCGTTGAGCTGGCCCGGGAAGCGCAGGCAGGTGGTGACGCCGCTCATGGTGGCCGACACCAGGTGGTTGAGGTCCCCGTAGGTGGGCGTGGTGAGCTTGAGGGTGCGGAAGCAGATGTCGTAGAGGGCCTCGTTGTCGATGCAGTAGGTCTCGTCCGTGTTCTCCACCAGCTGGTGCACCGACAGCGTGGCGTTGTAGGGCTCCACCACCGTGTCGGAGACCTTGGGGGAGGGCACCACGCTGAAGGTGTTCATGATGCGGTCGGGGTACTCCTCCCGGATCTTGCTGATGAGCAGCGTGCCCATGCCCGAGCCCGTGCCGCCGCCCAGCGAGTGCGTCAGCTGGAAGCCCTGCAGACAATCGCAGCTCTCCGCCTCCTTCCGCACCACGTCCAGCACCGAGTCCACCAGCTCGGCGCCCTCGGTGTAGTGGCCCTTGGCCCAGTTGTTGCCTGCCCCAGACTGACCTGGAATGCGGAAAGGGAAAAACAAAGCTTTCTTAGGAGCCTGGTCACTAAGACAGGAGACTCGGTCTTCCCAACCTTCCAACCTCTGCAACAATTCGCTTGGGCGCGTGGGAACTCGTTTCATGTAACTCACCAAAAACAAAGTTGTCCGGTCTGAAGATCTGGCCGAAAGGACCTGACCGTACGGAGTCCATCGTCCCGGGTTCTAGATCCACCAAGATAGCTCGAGGGACATACTTGCCACCTAGAGGGAGTTGAAGGAGACGTTTGAGAGCCCTCTGCAGTGAACTAGCTCACACTCGGGCCACCAGCGACTTCACTCAGCCTGTCGTTCCGGGCCCCGCCACCTGGTGGCAGTAGAGACAGCGCCTGGCCCCTTACGGTGGGCGTCTGAAGGGAAAGGTCCACGCAAAGGGGAACAGGTATTTAAAAAGGGGGCACAGGGCGTGGTGGTGCCGCCCGTAAGCGCAGCACTTGGGTCCCCTGGCAGCCAGAGCCGCACGAGACCCTGTCTCAACAGAGGGGCAGTGTTTTTAAGAGCAGAGCAGAACCCGGATTTCCGCCCTCACCTGTGGCTTCATTGTAGTACACGGAGATCCGGTCCAGCTGCAGGTCGCTGTCCCCGTGGTAGGTGCCGGTGGGGTCGATGCCATGCTCATCGCTGATCACCTCCCAGAACTGCACAGGGAACAGCGGTGAGCCCTCACCCGCCCAGGCCCTAAGGGAAGGCTCCCGGCCCGCACTTCCATTCTAGACATGCCCAACCGAGGCCGAGACACGCGCTGCGATTCCGCTATCTGCCCGCTGGACCCTCCACGGAGGGCCAGGGCAGCCCTGGCTCGACGATGGCTGCGGGGCGCGGGGGCCGCGGGCGCCCAGGCCGGCACAAAAGCGGGCCCGGGGAGCAAGGTGCGGCCACCGCCGTCGCCCACCCCCGCTCCACGTGACTGCGGTGGCGGGCCGCTCCTCCGGGAGCCACAAAGGCGGGAGCCGCGGGGGCGGGGCCTGGGCGGGGCCAGCGCGAGGGCGGGGCCGGCGCCCCCGCAGGCCGGGCCGCATTGTCCCTGCGCGCCAGGGGCCCGGCCCCGCCCCCGAGGGTCCCACCCTTCGGCTGCGAGGTAGCGGCCACACTTCCTCCGCGCCCCTCCCCCGCTACAATGTAAGTGCGCGCAGGGGAGATAAAGAAGAGAAACTGTGGCCTCGGAGCCTTCTTCCCTCCCCAGCTTCCCCTTAGTGCCCCGCACTGCTAAACCTCGCACCCTACGACCTCGAGGGCAAGGAAAAGTAGAAGCGGCCCCTTCCCCGAGCCGGCGGGCGCGCGGGCCCCCAGCCTTTGTTGGGAGGGAAGCCCTCTGCAGCGGCCCGCCAAGCCCCGCTCGCCCCTTCCGCCTCCGGCCTGCTCCACTCGGCCGTCCGGAGGGTGGGGGCGGGGGCGCCGCAAGGGGAAACCCTCGCCTCGGCTTTGTCTCGGTCCTTCCCGCGTGCGTCCTCCCCCAGGGCTCGAACCGTTGCCAGAGCCCTGCTTAAACGAGCTCCCTACGGTCCCCCAGCCCCTCCGTCCCCTAAACCCAAAAGGCCCCCTAATAGCTTTCCGAAAAGGTGCCAAGACAAACCTCTCCCCGTTTCTCGAGGTCGGAGCGCTGGCTGCAAATACGGGTTTTCCTACGTGCAGAACTTGGAGAAAGCTGACGGAGGCAGGATGCAGCCGCCCCGTTCACACTGCTCCTGACTAGGCTGGGCTCGCCACACGTCCACACCCCTGCCCAAATCTTTACATTCTTACCTTAGCACCGATCTGGTTGCCACACTGTCCGGCCTGGATGTGCACGATTTCCCTCATGGCTAAGGTTTACGGTAATAAATGTTTGCTGGTCCCAAGGTAGAGGCGAGCCAGACCAGGTGATTGATGTTTGGGTTTTTGTTTTTTTTCTTCCTCCCGGGCTGGTCTCAGACTGAAGGGTCGGAACGTAGCCCCGGAGGCTGCCGCAGGAAGGTGCGAGCGCGACCGCAGGAAGGTTCTAAGAGGCAGACGAGGCAGTCGAGCGCAGGAGAGAAGGCGCGCAGGGCGGGGCGCGCGTTCGCGCGGCCGGGGGCGGGAGATGGGCGGGCGCCCGCGGGCGCGGACAAAGCCTCTCCAGCCTGGCGCTGATTCGACCCGCCGATCACGTGCCCGGCCTCCATTGGTCTCTGAGCCAGCGGCGAGCGCGGTGCTTTCTGGGAGCTGTAGTTCTCTATTGTCCACGCTGCAAAATGAAGTTGGTAATGGGTGGGTACTATGGGAGGAATAGGGGCTATATTGTGTGTGTGTGATTTTATCTTTTTTTTTTTTTTTTTCCATGGAAAATGACCCCACAAGAGATTCCTATCCTCTATTCCTGAGAAAGGTTTTTGTACTAACTAAAAGAGGTTTGGGGAAATAGAGTAATTAGGAAGTCTGAGGTGCCCTGCGTTGGGCGGTGGGATAGGCACGCCCAGCAGGCTCCCCTCCGCAGGATCTCTGGTCAGCCCAGACTGCAGAGCTCAGCGGAAAGTCCGGGGAACTGTGGCCTCCTGCCCTGATACATAGTATCTAGTTCTTTGTGATTCCAAGACAGGAGTATCAGTGAGACGCTGCTCCCTCACTTCTTCCCAGAAGAAAGGCTTGTCCTCCTGTTTCCGAGGGAGTTGTCTCAAGGATGTTTCTAAAGAGAAACAAAAACTGCAAGGACTTTTCAGAATAGAAACATTGCGTGGAGCAGGTGTCCCAAAAGAGTGAAGGCGTCCTTCTCTGAGGGGGATCTGGGCCTTTAGGACTACGCTGAAGACATCGGGGGAGGGGGGGGACGGGTCCGCCTAAGAGAACGTCAGCGTCTTTCAGCGTCTCTCAGACACATGGGTGAAGCAAATGGTTTTTTTTGTTTCAGTTGGTTGATTTTATTAACTAGGTGACTGTGGCACAGTCCTGTACCGGAAAGAGGGAAGATGGAAATAGAATGTGCTCAAGGCAGAGTGCCCTTCAGCTTCTCTTCCCAGCTTTTCACAGATACTAAGTATCCTCAGAAGTGTAAAGGAGTAACAAATGGTTAATTAGAAACAAAGCAGGGCTGGTTCACATTGTTAATCCCCGAATTCTGACTCAAAGGCAGGAGGACCTCAGAAGTTCAAGGTCAACCTGGGTTACTTAGGGGCTCCCTGGACAGCCTGAGGTGAGACTTCAAACCAGTCTCTAAATAAATAAATAGGAAAGATTAGATTGTGCCCAACCTCCCCAGCAGTAGGGAGTTTGAGGCAGAAGGATCCGTGCACGTTGAAGGCTAACCTGGTCTACAAAACGAGAGCTTGTCTTGGAAAGAAAACATTTTTTGTTGTTATGTTGGAGAGAGATTTTTTTTTTTATGGTATTCTGGAGCGATGGCTCAGCAATTAAGAGCATTTGTTCTTCTGGAAAGACCAGGTTCAAGTCCCATCACCCACATTAGAGGCTTTCACCTTTCCGTAACTCCGGTTCCAGGGACCCAACACCCTCCCCTGTACTCTGCAGGCTTGTGGCACACAAGTAGTACACAGATATACATCCAGGAAAAGCACTAATACTTATAAATAAATAAATACCTCTTTAAAAAAAGAGAGAAAAAAACAAAGGGAAGGGTGTGGTAGGCAGTATCCGGGATATGACCATCCAGGCTAGGTGTGTGGCCCGGACAGCGGGAGGAGGATCCATCCCTGTGAGCTCTAGGCTAGCCTGGTCAATTAATTCGGTTCCCGTGAACATATGGAGACAACCACCGGGAAAGAGCTCTAAATTATGCAAGCCAATTTCTTCCTATGCTTTCATGTTTTATTATAAGGAAACAAATTGTCTTGCCATCTCTTTCTCCTCTTTTGAAAGACGAGGGAGTTGTCTCAAGGCTTTAGCAAAACAGCCTGCTTGCCTGCCCGCGTTTGCTTTCCTTAGGATCTTATAGTCAGGAAGTGACCTCAAAATGTCCGTCATCTTATCCACGCACGCACATATAGAAGGACAGGACTTCTACTAAGCAGTCCAGGTCAGAAGGAAATGGAGTTCCTCTGCCATGGGAGTGCCAAGGCGCCACGCCTGCGGGCCGTTTTCCAAGCTGCGGCTTCCAGCCACGACGGCAGCCCGCAACCCCTCTCTTGTCGTGAGTCAGCCGGCGCCATTTCTGGGATGACCGCGACGGGCGCGCTGGCCTTGGGACGACTGCTTTGGTGAGGCCCTTCTAGCCGCCGGCGGCAGCTGGCGCCGGACTCGGTGGTGAGGCCTTCGGAAATCTGCGCGGGAAGCATTCGGAAGGCGACGTCAGGGCGGTGGGTTGGCCCGGGGCGTCGGCCAATGGCGACGCGGGATCTTCCGGGCCACGCCCTCCGCTGTCACCCGCGTTTCCTTCCGCTGGTTTCCCGCCCGCAGCCGGGCTTCTGAGCGGTGAGGGGGCGGGGCGGGGCGGGGGCGGGGCTCCCACGAGGATGTGAGCCAATCGTCACGCTTCGGGTAGTAAAGGACAGCTGCGGCAGTCAATCAGACGGTCGGCGGGCTTCCGGGAGTCGCACTCCCGCCGCCCGGGTGGCGGCCGTTACTGGCGGCGCGCGCGCGGGATTTGGTAGGTGAGATCGGCCGCCCGCGCTCTCGCCGGCCTCCTGACCCCTCCTGAGGGCCGGAGGGGCGTGCCTTCGTGGCCACTGGGCGGAGGTAATTTGGGTTGCGGTTTAGGTTTTTATGCTAATACTTGCCTGGCGCGCTGGCCCGGTTGTGGGTTTGTTGACTCGGAAACGTTAGGCCCGGAGGGAGCAAACTCACGTGTCAAAGATGGTTGCCCTCCGGTCGGAGCGGAGGGCCGCGGGCGTCCCCAGGGTTGGCAGGACGCGGTTTTCTACAAGGGGCACCCTGCTTTCCCTGAGTGTGGCACCGTCATAGGTAACGCCCACTCCCGCGCTTTCCAGTTTCTGCCCCGAGTGTAGCCGCCGTGAGAGCAGGCTTCACTAGGTTTGGTTGAGGATGTATTCCACATACCCGAGAGGTACCGGGTGCTCCTGATTACGTAGGGGCAATCACACGGACCCCGGGGCTGGGGCGGTGTGTGGGTACGGTCCCGCCGGTTCTGGTAGGGAGAGACAGTGTGGACGACGAGAGGTTCGGGTCACCAAGGGTCTTGCCAAGGACTTTATTTAATTCTTCGAACTTAGCAGCCACGAGACGTCGTCAGGAGTGGTTTGGGCACGTTCCTTAACCTGTATGTATTGTTTCCTCATTTGAAAAAAAAAAAAAAAGAATATTAGGCGTAGCCTAGAGGGTTCTTTAGACGAATAAATGAGTCAGTCAACCTAAAGTACTAAAACAGTGCTTAACATAGAAAAGTCCCGTTATCCATTAGCTTCTTTGGTTCTTTGCATTTGAAGCTGAGGTATGCTGGTGACAGTGTATGAAATACGGACTTGGTGACTCACTTGTCTCTACATGCTGTTATTCTGAGCAAATGAATTTTTGGAGGCGTTGCTTCCCTGTCTCATTTGGCTGTTGTGCCTGATACAACTCAGTAGTGGATGGTGAAATCAGATAGGGAATGGTAAATGGGCATTGGAAGGCTAGAGCGTGTACAAGACCCTGAGTTTGATCCTCAGTAGTTCTGTGTGTGTATGTGTCCGTCTGTTGGTCTGTTAAGAGATTAGAAAAAAAAAAAAAAAAGATAGAAAACAGTATATTCACGAAGCATTATTTCTCCAAACTCATACTACCACGTAGGTGAGAGCCTGGTTCCAAGGAGGATGGCAGTCAAATACCCTGGAATTTGAGTTATGAACTGTTATGAGCTGCTATGTGGGTCCTGAGAACTGAACCCAGGTCCTCTGGAAGAACATGCAGTGTTTCGGTGTGTGAGGGCCTAGCTTCCATCTCCAGTACCTAAAAACAAACAAATCCCATTCTAGGTAATGGTATACTTTGTGTCATGGCCAAAAGTATAAATATCTACATATAATTTGTTTTATTTTGGAGGGCAAGGTCTCACTATAGTCAAGGCTGGTCTCCATACATTTTTTTTTATTTTTTTAGCCAGACTGACCTTTAACTCACAAGAGATCTTCCTTCCCACGTGCTGTAATCAAAGGCATGCCTGGCCAGGTCTCCAGGTCTTAATTTTCCTGCCTTGGGTGCAGGGATTACAGATATATATCAACATGTCTGTCTGTTTGTTTTGGTTGCTTGGTTGGTTGGTTGTGTTTTTGAGACAGGGTTTCTCTGAGTAGCCCGAGCTGTTCTAGACTTCCTTTATAGACCAGACTGGCTTCAAACTCAGAGATCCACCTAGGTTTGCCTCCTGCATGCTGGGATCAAGGTGTGCGCCACCAGGAAGTGATATTTTTCTATCAGTCTTTCTGAAACATCTGAAAATTTTGGGGGTGGGAGAATGTTTGGCTAGCCTGTGTTGAGGCCTTGTGCTCAACACTTAGAACCATCAATGGGTGGGGGGAAAAAAACCTTTGTGATCCAAACATGTTAACAGCTGGGCAGTAGTGGTGCGCGCCTTTAATCCCAGCAGAGGCAGACAGATCTCTGAGTTCGAGGCTAACCTGGTCTACAAAGTGAGTTCCAGGACAGCTGGGGCTATAGAGAAAAATCCTGTCTCAGGAAAAACAAAGAAAGGAAAGTATCGCCTCCACATTTACCCAGGTGTATCTCCAGTTGCTTTTTTCTCTGCAAGTGTGTACAAACCAATGGCAGGAGCAATGATGATGTGTTTCCTTACAGATCATGGAGAGCACCCAGGTGATTGACTGGGATGCTGAAGAGGAGGAGGAGACAGAAATAGCCAGTGGATCCTTGGGGTATAGCGTGGAGCCTGTAGGGCGGCTACGTCTCTTCAGTGGTACTCACGGACCAGAAAGAGGTCAGGGCATATCGGGAGCCAAAGTATGAATGTGGGTCTTTTCTTCTCCTTAGAGGTAGTCGGAGGGTTGGTAGAACCTTGTGTATGTTTCAAAGGGGATATTGAATAATTGTCTAGGGGATAGCAAAGAGGCCACCGAGGGTGATTGTTCCAGGCTGGTGCCATGTATTTTCTAGGACTGATTTTTCTTTTGTTAGGAGAAAATGAAGAGCTTCAGATAAAAATGCAGTGTTGGGGCTGAGGAGATGGCTCAGTGATTAAGAGTGCTTACTGCTCTCGCAGAGGGCCTGGTGTAGGTTCTCGGCTCACAACTACCTATAGCTCTAGCTTCAGGGGACCTGCACACATGTGGCGGACCTGACCTCACGCAGGTGCCCACATACACATGAATAATAAGTACGAACTTAAAATTAAAACACTTTGTGCCTAGAAATGGTGCTGCTGGTTGTGGAGGGACAATGGGTGTGTATACGAGTGAACAGTGCACTCACAATGATTGGGATGGTTAGATTTGTAGTGTGTGTTTTATTTTTGTCTTTCCTTTGAGACAGGGTCTCTCTGTAAAGCCTTTGCTGTCCTGGAACTTACTGTGGTGACAAGCCTCACACTTAACTGAGGTCCGCCTGCCTCAGTCCGCCAAGTGCTGGAATTAAAGGTGTGAGCCACCACGGCCAGCCTGTGTTGTGTGTATTTATTACACCCATTGAACATGGTGGTGCATGTCTGACTTGAGTTTGAGGGTGACCACAGTAAATATGAAAATAATCTGGGCTACGTAGTGAGACCATGACTCCAAAACAAAGCGGTGGGGGTGGGGCGGAGAGATGGCTCAGAGGTTAAGAGCACTGGCTGCTCTTCCAGAGGTCCTGAGTTCAATTCCCAGCACCCACAGGGTGGCTCACAGCCATCTATAGTGAGTTCTGGTGTGCAGGCACACATGCAGGTGGAACACTGTATACATAATAAAAACAAATAAGTCTTTAAAAAAAAGAAGAAGAAGAAGCAAAAGCTGTAGGTCAGGGAAAGCGTGCTTAGCTAGCGTGCATGAAGCTCTGTTTTCAACTTTGAGCAATAGGGGGGAAGATCCACTGTGAGAATTGTAGATGAGTAATGTATTATAAATGTTCTCCATGCTGACATATCCTCAGGGTTTTGAGGTTGGTTGTTTTTAATGCCTATAAGAGCTTTGAGTGAACAACAGTAGGATACCTAATTAGAACATCTTGAGGCCTGGACCCTGGCCTTATTCTCTTCTCTCTCCTCTGACCCTTAGATTTCCCACTCTACATTGGCAAGAATGTAGTTGGCCGAAGCCCTGACTGCTCTGTGACCCTGCCTTTTCCATCCATCTCCAAACAGCATGCAGTGATTGAAATCTCAGCTTTGAACAAAGCCCCCATACTCCAGGATTGTGGGAGCCTCAATGGCACTCAAATCGTAAAGCCTCCTAGGGTCCTGAGCCCTGGGGTGAGCCATCGTCTGAGGCACCAGGAATTAATTCTGTTTGCAGACTTCCCCTGCCAATACCTTCACCTGGATGTCCCACCCCCCTTGGTGCCTCAGAGACTGCTAACTGTAGAGAAGACCCCTGGAATACAGGGAGGGTCCCAAACATCCAGAGCTTTGTTGGCTGAGGATTCAGAGGAGGAAGCGGGTAAGTTTGTGCCTTGGGTGTGTGTAAAGAGACAGGGACAATGGGTGTAAACTGTCTGTTTATTCTTTCCTGATCTTGCCAGATTTTCCCTCTAGAAGGTGTGTGGCGAATGGATTTAGGAATACAACATCCCCTTCGGCAACAGTAGTTCCAGAAAGGTGAGTACCAAAGTACCAGCCGCCTGAATCTTTCTGGTTTTGATTTTTTTTTTCAGTCTCTGTAGCCCAGGCTGGTCTCAGACTCATGAAAATGCCCTGCGTTCAGTCTCTGTGTATTGGATTACAGGCTTAACCACCATGCCTGGTTTAGACACCTGAGCCTCTGAGCAAAGAGTTAAAGTGTCGATTTGAAGAGATGACTGGGTTTCTCTTTGTAGTTCAGGCTGTTCAGAAATTGGGCTCAAACTCAGATCCGCCTGCCTCTGCCTCCTGAGTGCTGGGAATAAAGGTGTGCGCCACCACAGCCCAGCGATGATTGTCCTGAGAGGTGGAGCTGGGGTCTATGCACCGTCTGTATATAATCCTCCAGCTGAATGAGGTTGTGATGGGCACTTCTGATATTCTCAGTGGAGTGGGGCCTGCTTCCAAGGCACTCATAGCTGAGTGGGTGTCCTTATCCAGGAAACACATTTTTTGGATTCTTCTCTTTGCAGTGATGACGAGGACTCTTTTCCAGCCCCAAGTGTCCCTGAGCACTCTTTGCCCTTTGAATTGGGCAGTGATACGGATGAAGAGCAGCAGCCAGCGGTGGGGGAGTCCTCTTTAGCTCCCAGGGATGGTGCCGCTGGGGAGGCTGAGCAGCCTGACGCTAATGGAGCGCCAGCTGGCATCCAGCTGGTGCAGGCTCAGCCTCCTGAGCAACAGTTCAAGGACACCAAAGTCAAGAGGAAGGCAGACAGTGGCGTGGTTCTGGCTGGGTCGATTTTAGAGAGGAGCCCCACTCTTGGGGAGGACAGTGACACAGAAGTGGATGAAGAACATCAGCCATCTGGCTCTGTGGACAATGATGCAGGTGTGGAAGAAGATACCCCACCTGTACTTCCTTGGAAGCAGCAGCAAGTCCTTGGAGTTGTGACAAGGGACCCTGGAGCACCTGGTGTGGCACATCTGCAGGACACACCAGCTGGTGGTGACACAGGTGTGGAGCAGGGCAAGACTGCACTGGCTCCCTCTTCAGAGGGAGGCCACACCTCCATGGTGATCAACAGTGACACAGATGAGGAGGGGGATGTTGCAGCATCACTCGCCTTGGCCCATCTGAAAGAAAGAGGGGTGGATTTGTGGAGCAGAAACCCAGGTGTGGAAGAGGTCAAGTCCCAACCACAGGTCCTTGTAGAACGAAGCCAGAGTGCCTCTGGGAGAGATAGCGACACAGACATGGAGGAGGGGCTCTCCGGGGAAAACAGAGGGTTTGTACCTGACAGCCCCATGGACATAGATGAGGCTCTTGTTGTCACACATCCAGAGAGCCAGCCCTCCCAGAGGCCCAGTGGTGTCAGTGAGGCTGTGAGTATGAGCTCCCCTGGCAGCCATCTAGAGGGAAATCAGGCATCATCAGCCACTGTGGACAAGAAAGGAGCAAAAGTGGAAGAGGAAGTCCCCCCGGGGCCTTCTTTTACCCTGGAGGAGAAGCGTCAGGTGCCTGTAGAGGAAGCCCAGGCTCCTGATGAGGCCTGGGAAACAGCTGTGGAGGAAGGCTCATCTTCGGCAGTGGCAGATGTAAGAAAGATCCCAGGTGCTGGGACAGAGCAGGCTGCAGCTTTGTCTGAGCAGGAAAGCTCTCGTGAGGTGGGGGCCCCCAGCAGGTCAGCTGCCACACCCGTGGAGCAGGCAGTAGTGTGCACAGATACTTCAGGGGACCCTGCCCTGCCACAGAGGGAAGGAGCCCTCACTGCCACAGGAAGCGGGAGAGAAGCACGTGTTGGCGGGACCCAGAATGCTAAAGACTGCTGTGATGGTAAGTGTTGCCTGCTGCTTTGCCCTCGACCCTAGGAATAACTGGCTGTTAGGGTTAGGAGAGAACTGTAGAGGTCTTTATGATAAGAGTTGATTTTTTAATCTGTCTCATATCTCTTCCCTCTTAGAGCCTGAAGATCTATGCCTTCCAGCTACCCAGTGCTTTGTGGAGAGTGAGAGCCAGAATCCAGAAGGTGAGGCCCTTGTGTTGTTTGGATCTGAGTGCCAATAAGAGCTGGGTGATTAGACTAGTGGTTCTCGAAAGATGGTATAGCCAAGATGGGGCATGGGACCCTGGAATTCTGGGACAAGATGTGTTCTGTCCATCTTTTCTTCTGCAGCTGTCCAGAGTTTGGAAGATGAGCCTACCCAAGTCTTCCCATGTACTCTTCCCCAAGAGCCTGGGCCTTCCCATCTCAGCCTTCAGACTCCAGGTACAAGAGAGTCTCTCTGAGCCCCAACTTCTGTCTTCTACATCTTTCACATTCTGACTTAACGTTAGACTTATCTATTTTATGTCAGTGTTTTGCCTGTGTGTACACATGTTCACCATGTGCATGCCTGGGGCCCACAGAGGTCAGAGGAGGGTGTCTTATCCCCTGGAACTGGGATGAGGGACTGTTGGGAGCTGCCATGTGGGTTCTCAGAACTGAACCCAGATCCTCTGGTGGAGCAACCTGCCCTGCGCTGTTAACTATTGGGGCTGAGCTTGACCTTCTGGTCCTCCAAATGCTGGGATTACAGGTGTATGCCCTCCAGCTAGCAAACCGGGGCTTCATGAGTGCTAGCTGCGCTCCCTGACACCTGAGCTGTATCCCCAGTCCCACCTTTCTATAGTCTTCTACTATTTTATTGATGTTCTCCATTTCCTCAGAAAAAGAAATCTGTACCAGACATGGAGACACACTTGTAATCTCAGAACTGGGGAGGCAGAGGCAGAGGCAGGAGCTCAGGGACATACATAGAAAGTTTGAGACCTGAACTACATGAGACTTTGTCTCAGAAAAACCAAAATGGGCTGAAGAGATTGCGTGTAGTTAAGAGTGGCAACTGCTCTTCTAGAGGACCAGGGTTCCGATCCAGCACCCATGTCCACCCATGTCAGGCAACTGGCAACCACCTGTAACTCCAGCTCCTGGAGATCCAAGACTCTGGTACCGTGGGTACCCACAAACACAGTATACACACATACATATGAATGAAAGTTTTAAAAAATACATCTAAAAAAACAAAAAAACAAAAAACAAAAAAAAAACAGAAAACAATGGGCTGGAGAGATGGCTCAGAGGTTAAGGGCACTGGTTGTTCTTCCAGAGGTCCTGAGTTCAATTCCCAGCAACCACTGGTGGCTCACAACCATCTATAGTGAGATCTGGTGCTCTCTCTGGCATGCAGGCAGAACACTATCTGTAATAAATAATGGTCAAAAAATAATAAAACAGCAAATAAAAAGCAAATTGTTGGGCCTTACTCTGATTCTAGTTCAGGAGACTGAGAATTGGCTCTGAAACTCAAGTGGGTTTTTCTCTGAAGATTGAACCCAGGGCCTTGTGTCTCCCAGGGGAGTGCTCTTCTGAGCTACATCCCCAATCCTTGTTTGTCAAATGAGGGTCTTGAGGGAGCTGTGTGTGAGATTATAATGTTCTGAATAGCATTCAGTGTTACAGCCAACATCCTTATTCCCATCTTTCCTTTTGTAAGCCATTTAGCCAGTTCAGAGTCTGGCCTAGTTCTTAGCCTTATAGCCTTGTTTGCTCTTTAGGTCCAGGCACCTTGGACGCGCCTTGGGAAGTCTTGGCTACACAACCGTTTTGTCTGAGAGAGCAGACAGAGGCCTCTGAGCCCCAGCTCGCTGCCACCCACCTGGAAGCTGGGGAATCTCATCCATCTCTACCTAGGGCCCCACCAGGACACCAGCATGTTGAAGGCAGAGAAATACAGACTGTGGAGAAAGCCATGGGTATACCAATGGAAACAACAGTCAGGGTGGCCCCTGAGAGTACACCATTGGAGAGGAAAACCAGGGGAGGAACCCCAAACAGTGAGAGAGAAGATGTGATGGGGAAGAACTACCTCAGGGGAGAGAGGAGAGTGCCAAAAAACGTGGTAGCTGGACACAGGCAGAGACAAGAGTCCAACAAAGTGAAGGGTGGGAATCCTGAGGGGACTAGGGAGAGTTCGAAGGGAGGAATGGAGACACCCAAAGACTCACAGAAGAAAGAGGGAGAAGTAGAAAACCAGAACCAGAGAGAGCATGGGAGCCAGCTGGTTTAGAACTGCCTAGCTAGAGGGGGACAGAGGAAGGGAACCAGGATCAGAAAGCTCAGGTTGTCAGTTTAACACTAAAGCCTAGAGCTTGCTTGAGGGACCGTGAGGGAAGGCTCCAGCCCTAGCACTATCTGGGAGCCAGGGATTTGGAGGTAGGGGAGCCCCTTTGAGCCCCGGGAGGCAGCAGAGAGGTAAGTGAGGCAGAGGGAGCCAAGGTGGCATGTAGTCCTCATGGCGGTTAGTCCCTGAGCTACAGTCTGCACAGCACTCAGCCACTCTTATTTTATTCTCTCTCTTCTAGGCCTCTTGAGTTGCCAGGTGACACCCGCTGGGAAGGCTTCCGGGGTGAGCTGCGTTCTTATCCTGCCCCTGCTTCACAGGTCACTCCATCCCTGGCGACCCTTTTGCCTAGCTGTAATTTATTTCTTCATATTTCCTGTTTTTTTCACTGCGTGTACATTTGTGCATGTTTGGGAGAGGTGCTTGAGGAAGCCAAGTGACAACCTAGTGTGTTCTTCAGGAAGCACCCCACTTTTTGGAAGGATAGGGTCAGGATCTCAAGCTGCCATAGAAGTTGCTACAGTAGACAAGGCTGTCCCTGCTCTAGCGCTGGGATCATAAGCATGCACCACAGGACCTGGCCTCTCTGCATGGCTTCCGTAGACCACATTCAGGTCCTGGCGCTTGACTTCTGAGCTGTCTCCCTAATCCTTTGTTCCAGGTTTCTTCTTCATTTCTCAGTAGTTGGCCTCTGTTCCTGTGTCCTGTCTCCCATTGTTTCCGTCGGTGGTTCCCTTGGGAACTGACTGAGACTTCTCCTTGTGCTTCTTCCTCTTTGCCCAGCCATGTGTTAGTTACCAGACCCACCTGTGCACACAGAGATCCCTTATGGTGTCCAAAAGATTACTTCCTTCCCCAGGAGTGCCTGGTGTAAAGAGCAGTGCCAGTGAGCATGCTGTGACCATAAACAGATCAAAGCCAGACATGCTAGCCTTTTGTCCCAGCATTGGAAGCGAAGGTAGAAGAATCCGTGCAGAACACAGCAATTACTTGAGGCCCTTCCTCAGAGACACTGGAAAAAGTCAAGATTCGTTCCGGCCTCTTTCTTACTGCCTTTTGTCAGTTGCCTCTCCTTCTCCTCAGGGTGATCCAGAGCCTCCGTCCCATCGCCTATCCTCTCCAGTGCCCGGATCTTCAGCTCCACCTCAGAGTCTTCTCACCTCGAAGAGACAAAAGCAGTCTACACCTCAGCCTCCATTTTCAACTTCTTCCCCTTCTGTCGGGCCACGGAGGTCCTCCAGGATGACCCCTTCCTCACATTCCTCTGCTGCCTCAGGACCAACATCTCAGGCCGTTCGGGGCAGGGCAAATAAGTCCTCCACCATGACCCCAGAACTGATTGTTCCTACAGACCCTGAACTCCACCCTCCCACCTCCACAGAACAACCTGTCACCCCAAGCCCCACACCTCGGGCCACGCGGGGCAGGCTAAATAGGTCTTCCATCAAGACCCCAGAACCATTTATCCCTACTGTCCCTGACCTTCAACCTCCCACCTCCACAGAACAACCTGTCATACCTAAACCCACGTCTCGGGGCAGGTCACGTAAGTCTTCTCTCAGGACCCCTGAAGCAGTTGTCCCTGCCTGTCCTGAACTCCAACCTCTCACCTCCGTAGAACAGCCTGTTATCCCTAAACCCAGAGCCACTCGGGGCAGGCCGAGTAAGTCTTCTCTCAGGACCCCAGAACCAGGTGTCCCTACTGGCCCTGAACTCCAGCCACCCACCTCCACAGAACAGCCTGCTGCCCTTAATCTCACATCTCGGACCTCTAGGGGCAGGTCCAGTAAGTCTGTCAGGACCCCAGAACCAAGTGTCCCCACTGGCCCTGAATTCCAGCCACCCACCTCTACAGAACAGCCTGCTGCCCTTAATCTCACATCTCGGACCTCTAGGGGCAGGTCTAGTAAGTCTGTCAGGACCCCAGAACCAGGTGTCCCCACTGGCCCTGAACTCCAGCCACCCACCTCCACAGAACCGCCTGATACTCCTGAGCCCTCTTCTCAGGGCAGGACACTTAGGTCTTCTGTCAGGACTCCCGAAGCCAGTGTCCCCATAACCCCTAAGAGCCAGCCTTCTGCTGATCCAGACCAGCCTGTCCCTAAGCCCCCAGCTCTGGGCACTCGGCAAAGGGCATGTAAGTCCTCCACTGATGGTCCTGAATCAGCTGGACTAGCAGCCCCTGATTCTGAGCCTCTCGCCTCTACAGATCGTCTTGTCATCCCTGAGGTAACAGGTGAGAGGGTGATACTACAGTCTTCACCCGTAAGTGCGTCCTCAATTCCCAGTGCCCCTGAACTCCAGCCACCTGTCCCCACAGCCCAACCTGTTCTGCTGGAGCCCATTCCTCAAGCCAGTCAGCAAAGGAGGCGGAGGGCTGTGAGGAAGCAGGCCTCCCACACGGTTGCCGTGGGCCACAAACCTAACTCTGCATCTGAACCTGAGCCTCAGTCTTCAGTCAGCCAAAGCTCAGGGCCGTCAGAAGCCTCTGAGTCGGATACAGCCACTCCAGAGCCTGCTATGGCCCTCATCCAGAGTGAAGCAGCTAGGGGATCAGGTATCATTCCCAAGCCTGAGCCTGGAGTTCCTCAAGTCTGCAGGAAGCCTTCCACTACCTCAGGCTCACCCCTTGAGAAACGTCCCCGAAGGCAGGTACCGCAGAAAACTGTAGTCATCAAGGAAGAGGATCCTGCAGAAGCAGCAGTGAGGGAAGAGGTGAGAGGACCACTGGGGGCTCCCTCGATAGGAGCAAGAGCTGCAGGGTCAGGGTGCTCACCGAGATGTTTTTCAGCCTCAGGAGAGGGCAGTTCCCACACCAGGTAAGAGAAAGAGGAACCGTGCAGAGAATGAGACCCAGGGAAACCCAAACCGAAGCCAGCGAACTAAACCTAACCAAGAAGCAACAGCCCCCAAGGTAGAGAGCAGGGCTGGGGATTGAGAGGTGGGTGGGCGGTGCCGTCAGGTTGTGACCACCCTCGCCCACTCCCTAGGTGCTGTTCACGGGAGTCGTGGATTCTCGTGGAGAGCGCGCAGTGCTGGCTCTGGGAGGCAGTCTGGCCAGCTCAGTGAATGAGGCCTCCCACTTGGTCACTGATCGTATCCGCAGGACAGTCAAGTTCTTGTGTGCCCTGGGGAAGGGGATTCCCATCCTCTCCCTGAACTGGCTGTATCAGGTGAGAAGCCAGGCGGTGGTGGGTGCCTGGAGGACTGCTCACCAGCCTCCCAAGGAGCAGTGGGAGGGATGGAGATGGAGACCCGAGGGTTACTGAGGCAGAGAGCTGCCATGATGCACTCTGCTGCTCTTCCCCTAGTCCCGAAAGGCTGGCTGCTTCTTGCCTCCTGATGACTACTTGGTGACTGACCCTGAGCAAGAGAAGAATTTTAGCTTCAGTCTTCGGGATTCACTGAGGCGGGCTCAGGGACGAAGACTACTGGAGGTGAGAGGCTGCCTTCTGCACCCTGCTTCAGTCCCGTCCCTGTGACCCACAAGAGGATTCCCAGTGCAGACCTGTCTCTACACTCCCTTCTTAGGGCTATGAGATTCATGTGACCCCTGCAGTGCAGCCGCCCCCATCTCAGATGGGCGAGATCATCATCTGCTGCGGAGGTGCCGTCCTGCCTCGCATGCCCCATTCCTATAAGGTATGATGGGTGTGGCTGAGCCTGAGGAGGGAGCAGCTGGGAAGGTAGTGGGAGTGAGAAAGGTTGGAGGAATAATGAAGGAGGGAAAAGGGAAGAACAAGGGAGAAGAGGTGCTGGCATCAAATAGACTTAGTTTTATTTTGAGGTTTAAATATTTTTAAATAGTCAGATGTGGGGCCACAGGTTGGCAGTACAGCACTTGGGACTTGGAGGCAGGAGGAGCAGAAGTTCTAGGTATATATTCACCTAAAGTAGGAAGCTCTAAATCAGCCGGACTGCCTATGACTCCTCCCACCCCATTCATTCAAGAGGCACCAGGCAGGGTGGCACACGCCTTTAATGCCAGCACTCAGGAGGCAGAGACAGGTGGATCTCTTTGAGTTTGAGGTCAGCCTGGTCTACAAAGCGAATCCAGGACAGCCAAGGCTACACAGAAAAACCCTGTCTTTAAAAAAGAAAACAAGAAAAGTGAAGCAAGAGGGTCACTTGAACCTAAGAGTTCAAAGTCAGACCGAGTAACAGTGAGAACCCCCATTTCTTTTTTTTTTTTTTTTGCTTGTTTTATTTTTTCAAGACAGGATTTCTCTGAGCAGCTCTGGCTGTCCTGGAACTCCCTTTTAAACCAAACTGACCTGGAACTCTGAGATCCACCTGCCTGTGCCTCCTACAGTCGTGTGCCTCCGCTGCACAGCAAGAAACTCCACTTCCTAACAACAAAAAGCTAAAATTCCTGTAGGGCCATGTACTTGTTGTATTTCCCGATCCTCTTACTGTGTCGGGCTCTTAGCCTTGGGAGGGACTGACTTCCCACAGTGGTGAGGCCAGCTGTCCTTGGGGTGCTGCCAGCCAGGGCCTTCCCTTGTTTGTATCGTTTCTACCTTCTCCCACTGTCTTCTGTGTGTCATGCCGATTAGAATTGTAAGCTGCGGTGGGGCTGGGAATGGAGCTCAGATGGCAGCCTGCTTGCCCAGCGTGTACAAACCTCCTGGTTTGATACTTAACACACGATACACACCTGTAATTCCAGCACTCCGGAGATGGAGGCAAGAGGATCAGAAATTCAAGATTATCTTTAACTACATAGCACATTTCAGGCCAGCGAGTTATATGAAACCCCTTTTCAAAAAAGAAAGGGGAGGGTGGGCTGAGCTTTTGAGTTCATCTTTCGGGCAAGAGTACTTGACAGGCAGGGCATGTGCATGCGTGCGTGCATGTGTGATTTACTGATGTATACATATATGTGTATATCACTGTGTGTGTGCATATATATATATATAGTCTCAGTTCTGAGACTGCGTAGTGGGTCCTG